GAAGAAGGGTCCAGACCTGAAACGTCAGCTTTCCTGTTCCTCTGATGCTGCCTGGCCTGCTGTGTTTCTCCAGCTCCACACCTTGTAATGTCATGATCAAAATGGGCTTATGTAGAACATGGTTGTTATAAAAAAGATTTGCATGTTTAATGTAAATATATGATAACTATCAAAGTAGATAAGAGAAATTTTATTAGAAAATGAAGATGCCTCTTCAGGACGCCTTTTCTTTTTGTGGGGTGGGAGTTATTATAATAATTTGCAATGTGGTGCAATAGTTTGGATTATGAAGTAGAAGTAAATGAATCTCAGTTTTTCATTCTTTGAAGGAGACCTGTTTTAAATAAAGGTCCGAAAGTCATTTTTAACAGTGAAGGAAAAGGCTACTATTCCAAGGAAGTGGCTGACTTCAGTTAAATGATGAGCAAAATTCTTGGCAAGTCACTTGATAAAGCATTTACAAAGTCCAATTTTTATAGCAGACAGAAGGCCATCTGGTCAGGGACTACTGGTGGGATGAGTTCAGAAGAAGAGAAGTCATATCAGCAGAAGTGCAGATTTTAATTTGTATAACTCTCCAGACTTTGAGAATTTAGTTTATACAAGCACTAGGTTGAGAGTTGATAGAAATCTCCAGGTCAACTTTCAAAGGTGTCCAGGCCATCAGAGCTGGAAAGAAATCTTCAGGTCTTTTAGCAGCCCATAGCTAAGGGCTGGAAAAATCTGTTGAATAAGAAATCTTAAAGTGAAGGTAGAAGTAATGCTTTGCTGGGATTGGGTAACTGTAAAGGATAGTGCTGGGAAAATGTCTGAATCTTTCTTCTGTGTTTTCTTCAGCTGAATACATTTGTGTTCTTTAATTAAAAGAATTTTGGTGGTCTTTGGCGAATAAGTTCAATGACTGACAACAGTAACTAAACTGCAAAAATAAGACTGATGGTCTATCAAGCTGGTTTACACTCTGGGATCTAACTTGTCCAGTAATACCATCAGCAGAGATCATAACTGTGACCCAGTTTCCTCATCCCAACTCCTCAGAAGATCTTATGTGGCTTCACAGAAGATTTAATTTGGACATTCGGCCCATCTTCCTCAATCTATTCGGGAAGACTATACTGCTATCTCCATCATTGGTCCATTCTATTTTCTGTTACCATAAATCATGGTGTATAAGTGAACCTAACGTATAAGACATTCATTTTCAGAGACATGATATGTGAGACTCAGTAATTGTCAGTCTCCAAGTTTCACCCCACCAATACTTGATTTCCTTATCAGGATCTTTGAACTGCCGCTATTGATACGAGCACGTACACTCTCTGCCTCGGGGACTAATGACATGGAAAATGACGACCACCCGTACCCATTCCACTGGTTCACTTTCACAGTCAGTGTTTTTGGACTTTGAAGGTGCACTTATAAGGCCAGATCTGCTCTGAACGATTCCATCTTTTCTGTTCCTCCTAGAAGTCCTTTTAAGCATTAATCATTCTTTATGTGAACCTTGGCTTCCTGGTTTCAGTCTCGCACTTGCATTTTCAAACCTCACCCAGATTCCCATGTGCTTTTAAATTCGTTCATTGTGTGCAGACACATCTGACAAGGACAACATTTATTGATCGTCCCTTGTTTTTCGAGATTTGATTACTGTTTCAACAATGCTGTACTGATCCAAGGGGCTGACTGTATGAGTCCGTAAGAAATTAGAGTGAGACTCATCGGCAAACTCTCAATGAGCTATTCTCAGTGCTACCAGCAGATGGCAGAAGGGTTCCACTGAGTTATTCTCACAAACAGCACTCCAGATAAACATAATAACGAAGAAAAAAACCAAAAGAACTGCGGATGCTGTAAGTCAGGAACAAAAACAAAGCTGCTGGAAAAGCTCAGCAGGTCTGGCAGCATCTGTGAAGGAGAAAGTAGAGTTAACGTTTCGGGTCCGATGACCCTTCCTCAGAACTCACAATAACGAGCACGTTTCAGTTTTTTGAAGAGGGTGAAGTGTCACACAGCAGGCTTGTTGACAAAGTTAGAGCACGTGGAATCAAACAGGCAATAGCGATAAGGATAGAAAAAGAAATTGACAGGGACCGAAAAGGAATGGTGGTGAATGTATGTATCTTGACTGTACAGGACATAATTACAGTGACGCAAAACATAGAAACATTGTGAACTGCAATGGGGAATAGGGATAAACTTCAAGAGCATACACGTAGGTCAAGCGATAGGCACACAAATGACAGATGAAATTCAATGCAAATGAATGTGAGGTGCTGGAAGAACGAGGAGAGGCATTGTAATATAAGGAGCACCGCCCGAAAGGAGGTGCAGGAGCAGACAGTATACCTTCTCACGTATTTGAAGATGGTAGAACACGTTGAGAGAGTGAATGGCAGTGTGTGGGATGTGAGGAACATCATGCACAATAGCAAGTAAATTGTAATAAAGCTGAGTAAAACACTGGCTCAGCCTCAAGTGGGGTACTGTGTCCAGTCCTGGGCACCGCAATGAAGGACGAATGTGTAGGCATTGGAGAGAATACAGAAGAGATCCGGAAGAATGAACTTGGGTTACACAGGGAGATTGGAGAGACGGTGATATTCTCCATGAAGGAGAGAAGGTTGTGAGGAGATATGATAAGGCATTAAAAACCGAGTGGGATAGTAAGCATTGCCGATGCTGGAGTTAGAGATAACACAGTGTGGAGCTGGATGAACACAGCAGGCCAGGCTGCATCAGAGGAGCGGGAAAGCTGACGTTTCGGGTGAAGAAGGGTCCCGACCCGAAACGTCAGCTTTCCTGCTCCTCTGATGCTGCCTGGCCTGCTGTGTTCCTCCAGCTCCACGTTGTGTTAAAAACCGAGAGGGGTCTGAACAGAGTAAACAAGGAGAACCTGTTCCCATTATTCGAGGGATCAAGAACCAAAGAACATTGATTTGAGAAGATTGGCTAAGGAATCAAGAGCAATGCAAGGAAACAAAAGAATTTAGTGGTTAACCTGGTTAGAATCTGAAAATTTTGAGTTAAGAATGTGTGGTAGAAGATTGACTGAAGCCTTTCAAAAGAGAATTGAATCATTATCAGAAGAGAAAAAATTGCAGGCTGACGAGGAACGGGTCCAATAGGCAGCGGGACAAGGTGAGTTCTTCCTGCAGAACGCCCATCCCAAAACAATGGGCCAAATGGCCTCCTTCACTGCTGTAACCATTCTATCAGTCCAAACTTATGTAAACCTCGCCAATGGACTTTGCCAGATTTACGCATCTCCCATATTGTCATTTTGGTCCAGTCACTTTATATTTGATATTACAATCTGTAGCCCTCAGATCAGTTCCTTCCAGACATCAGACTGACTCTCAGAGGTGGGCTACAAGACAACGTCCATCTAAGTCTCCATCAAAACCTCATCCTATTTGATTGGCTGCTCCTTGTATGGGTGGGTGCCACCATTAACACAAATCCATTTGTGGACTTATCACTGAAATCATGCAGTAAGGAGGAGGCCATTTGACTTATCATGCCCCTGATGGCACTCTGATATGCAGCAGTCCCACCTTCCCTTCTCTTCCCCATAGCCCTGTTAGACTTCCCTCATTGTGTCGATCACAAATTGCCTTTTGAAAGTTCTGACTGAATCTATACATCTATTGGACAGTGCATTCCATTTCAGAGTGGTACAGTGTCTGTTTAAAAATTCCTCTCAATCCCTACCTCATCCATTTTCCAATCATCTCAGTGCCCTCAGTATCCCTATAAATGATAATAGAATACATGGGTATTAGTCTGAGGTGCTAACACAATTAAATCAGCCACAGAAGAAATGGTTTTACCTTTAATGAAACAAAGAATTGCAGATGCTGGAGATCTGAAACAAAAACAGAAATTGCTGGGAAATTCAGCAGGTCTGGCAATATCCGCAGAGAGAGAATAGAGTTATTGTTTCAGGTCCAGTGACACTTCTTCAGAACTGATAGTAGACAAGAAAAGGTGCTATTTATGCTGATCACAGGGGGTGGGGGGATGGAGCGAGAGGAAAAGGGGATGGAGCCTGAACAGAGAGAAAATTATAGTTAGACTGACAAAGGAATTGGATAATAGTCAGCTCAGGATAAAGTAAAGCTGATAATGGGGACATATGAGTAAGTGAAAATGGCTGTGCTGAAAGCAGTCCATGGGATGACAGGGCCTGGGATGTGATGGGTGTAGGACATGAAAGATGATGTTCAGATTCTAAAGTTGTTGAACTCAATTTGAGTTCTGAAGGTGGCAGGGTCCCCAAATGGAAAATGGGATGCTGTTACTTCAGCTTGCGCTGATCCTCACTGGAGCACTGCAACAGGCCTGAGACAGAGGTATTGGCCAGGGAACACTGAGGGGATGGGGATGGGGGTAGTGTTGAAGTGGCAGGTAACTGGAAGCTTGGTGTCATTTCTCCAGATAGAATGTAGGTGTTCTGTAAAGCAGTTGCCCAGACTGCATTTCATCTCCCCAATGTACAGGAGACCACATAGTGATTTGATTTGTTATTGTCACATGTACTGAGATACAGTGAAAAGTATTGTTTTGTGTGCTAACCAGGCAATTGTACCTTACATAAGTACCTCAGGGTAACAGAACAGAATGCAGAATATAGTGTTACATTTACAAAGAAGGTGCAGAGAAATTCCAGGTGAATTGCTGCTTGAAACCTCGGAGAGTGAGGAGGGAGAAGGTTAACAGCCAAGTGTTACATCTTCTGCATTTGCATGGGAAGGTGCCATAGAGGTGTGGGGAGAGAGGGAGGAGTGAACCAGGGAGTGCCAGAGGGAACGGATCCTGCAGAAGGCTGACAAGGGAGATGAGGGAAATATGTGTCCGGTGGTGGCATCCCACTGGAGGCGGCAGGAATGGTGTCTTATAATCCTTTGAATGTGCAAGTGAGGGAGAAAGTGAGGACTAGATGACTCTATTGTTGTGGGAGGGAAGAGAAAGGGTGTGGGCAGAAGTGTGGGAAATGGGTCTTGTCAATCGTTGTGATGGATAATCCTCAGTTGAGGAAAAAGCTAGATACTTCTGAGGCCCCTCTGGGTGCAGAAATTACTATATCAACAAAATCAGTGCACACATAACCCAGAGCTCCAGAAGTCCTTTCCGTTCCACCCCCACCTCCTTGCAGCTACTCTCTGCCATTAACACCCACATTTTAACCATGCCATTGATCTACTATTATCAACACTTCCCTTTGCTCTTTTGTTCTCTGGGGCATCCTCACCATCAGTTCCACTTGCTCCTCCACCCTCCTTGTCAACAGCATAAAACCTATGAATTTTGCTGGCCCTTTAATTCTGAAGAACAGTCCTACCTGCCTTGAATCGCTCACTCTTCTTCTCTCTGGCCAGATGCTGGCTGACCTGTGTGACTTGCTTCAGTGCTTCCTGTCTTTTTCTAAAATGATTGCTCTGGGGAAGGGGAGTTCAAATCCCACCCGGGCAGCTGGTGGAATTGCAACTAAATTCATAAACTCTAGAATTACAAATCTTGACTCAGTAAGGAAAACTATCATCGATTGTTCTTTAAAAAGAAACTATCGGGTCCACAAACATCACAGAGGGAAGGAAATCTGTTAGCCTGACCCAACCTGGACTACCCCAGACCAACAACGATGGCGCTGGCTCTTGACTGCCCACTGAAAACGAGCCACTCCATTCAACAGCAGATAGGGATAAGCTACATTTAAATGAGGGCCTCATCCCAGGAATGAGTAAAATATTGCATGCAATTCTGGTCTCCCTGCTGTAGAAAAGATGTTGTTAAACTCAAAAGTATTCGGAAAAGATTTACAAAGAAGGTCTTTTCCCCAGTGTAGGGGAGTCTAAAACTAGAGAGCGTAGGGTTAAGGCGAGAGGGGAAAGATTTAAAAGGGACCTAAGGGGCAACTTTTTCACGCAGAGGTGGTGCGTGTATGGAATGAGCTGCCTGAGGAAGTGGCGGAGGCTGGTACAGTTACAACATTTAAAAGGCTTCTGGATGAATTAATATATATGAATAGGAAGGGTTTACTGGGATATGGGCCAAATGCTGGCAAATGGGTTGAGATTAATTGAGGATATCTGGTCGGCATGGACAAGTTGTTTCCGTGCTGTACAACTCTATAACAACTACAAAAAAAAACTCAATTGTGAAAATATCGCATTAGAATAATAATCCAGAATTGACTTTTTAAAAACAAAAACAAAATAAAGTCAGCACAACATAGGTAGCCAATAGAATCGCACATCCCAAGGACTAACAGTTTGTTGCTGCGCTTCAGGGTCATTCTCGGATTCATCCGCACGGCCGGTGTCAGGATCAATCGCAATTTCAGGCGCAGAGGGAAACTAACGGCGGAATTTGCGTCGGAGCCGCGGCCGATGGCTTCCAAGCAGCAGGCGGAGGGTCTGGCCGAGTACCTGAACTGCCCGATCTGCCTGGATCTGTTCGCCGAGCCGGTAATCCTGGAATGCGGCCACAACTTCTGCCAGGGATGCATCCGGCGCTACTGGGAGGACAGCGAGGCCAGCTCCTGCCCCGAGTGCAGGGAGGTTTTCCAGGAGAGGAGGCTACGCCTGAACCGGGCGCTGGGGAACTTGGCGGAGCGGGCTCGCAGCCTCTTCCAGCAGCAGGAGGGTAGAACCGGAGCCCATCTAGCAGGCCGGCAGCGGAGCGAGCAGGAAGCTGAAGCCAGCCCCAGGCCACGTCCCCAGGAGCCCGGGGCTGCAGGTCCGTGCCCCGGGACAGAGCAGAGGCAGCTCCCCTTCTACTGTGGGCAGCACCGAGAGGAGCTGAAACTGTTCTGTGAGACAGATAAGGAGCTGATCTGTGTGATGTGCCTGGACAGTAGAGAGGGTCAGAGTCACCGCTCCCACAACTTCATGCTCATCAGTGAAGCAGTGGAGATGTACAAGGTAGAAAATGATAAAGAAAAAAATATCAAAAAGTTTGGAATCAAAAATGCTGGAAAATCTGAAAGAAAAGCATTAAGTGTTGGGACCATGAACCAAAAAAAAAGCCATAGCTCAATTCTAGTAACATCTGTGAGGAGAAAACTAGGTCAGGCAAGGAATCCAATGTGACTTTTTCAGAAAGCATGGGAACATAGAATTAGGAGTAGGTCATTCGGCCCTGTGAGCCTATTCTGCCATTCGTTCTGACCATGGCCGATTATGCAGCTCAATAGCCTGTCCCTGCTTTCCCCCCACAGCCTTTGATTTCCTTAGGCCCAAGTGCTAATTCCAACTCTATCTTGAAATCATACAGTATCTTGGCCTTGACTGCTTCCTGTGGTTGCAAATTGCGCAGGCTCACCACTCTCTGGGTGAAGACATTTCTCCTCATTTCAATCCTAAATGGTTCACCCCATATCCTTGTACTGTGACCCATGGTTCTGACTCCCTGGTCATTGGGAACATCCTTCTTATATCTACCCTGCCTAGTATTGTGGGAACACATGTCCCTCCTATTTAACAGGACATGGCTGTAAGCCCATAAGACTATGTAGAGGAGAGGTGGGCCATTTGGCCCATTGAGTCTGCTCTGGTGTAATTTTGGCATGAGCCCCATTTTCCCAACGGGTGGGTGGATATGAAGGAGCAAACTTAACTTCACACCAATAGCTAGTCAACTGTCCATGAAGATTCGTGGACATATCCACGATATGATTCTCAATTCAAGAGAACAATCCCAAAGTTAAGGAGCTTCAGTTACAGAGATAGGGGGAGAAAGAGAGAGAGAAAATGTTCAAACTCACAAAAGAATTGAAAGTGAGAGGACTGGATTTTAACATAATTAGTCAAGGAAGCCAAAGCAACAGGAAAAGGGAATAAGTTTCTCACAGAACGAATGGATCAGGAATGCACTACTTGGGAGAGTGGTTGACGCAGGTTCAGTTGAGGCATTCAGAAGGGAATTAGACTGTCATCTGAAAAGGAAGAATGTGCCAGGGAGTAGGTACTGAGCACATTGCTCATTCAGAGGGCTAGTACCGACAAGAAGGGCTGACTGTCCTACTTCCGTGCTGTAACAATTTGGTGCATCTGTAACAATGACCCTCTCCTGGTGGCTTATATGAGGGTGGGGTTCGATGGGTGGGACGGCAGATCCAGCCACATCCTGAAGTGGCATTTCCCCCACGTTTCAATTTGTGAACAAGCTCATTCACCCTCCGCATCTGAATTTCAGGAAAAGCTAAAATCCCTATCCGACATTCTCTGGGCCAAGTCCACGCTCCTGGAAGCTAAACTAGCGCAGAAGCACGTTTTAGAGGTTGGGGTAAGTTTTCAATCTGTCCTCCTCTCATGCATTTCCCCTCCTGTACCTCCCCGTTTCTTGTCTGCCGCCCTCTCCTCCTTTTATCTCGGCTCTGATGATAAAGTTGTCATTCCTATAGGATCAGACGAGCCAGCTGCAGGAATTCATCACGTCCGAGTTTGCGAAGATGCACCAGATCCTCATGCGAACGGAGAAACGGTTGATTTTGGAGCTGAAGGAGAACGTGGAGATTATCTCGGACAAGTTGGAGAGAAACCTGCTGGACATCCAGCAGAACCTGAATAACATCCAGGAAAAGCTGTCGAGATCGCAGACCCAGCTGGACCAGGAAGACACCATCGCCTTCCTAAAGGTAATTGTCGCCGTCACGCAGAGCAGTAAATCCACGCCTCCACCACCACCCTCCCCCCTCCCACCCACCACCACCCCTTTTCAAACAGCAAGAGAGCAACACGGGCAAGAAAAGCCTTCTCCTTCTCCCCCACTTCCACCATTCCTTCTCTACATTGAACTGCTCACACACCTGGGAGCAAGGGAACCCACTAGCTCTGATACAGACCCATCCTACACGGGTTCGTATCCAAAAGACAGCAACAATTTAGTTTTGTGTCATGCCCAGCATCAACTTTACCATAAAACTGACTCCCAACCAATGGAGAAGGTTGGGGCAGGTGATCAATGCTTGAATGGATGGGTTTTGTCCAGAATGTAGCACTGACCTCAGGATATATCAGCCATTGAAGTATTATTCTGAAGTGTAGTCACTATCATTGTGTAGTGAATGCAGCAACTGATTTGTACAAAGCAAGAACCCATGACAATATAGCATTGACCAGATTATCCTTTTGTCGTCATTGTAGTCGATGGAAAACTCTTAAACCGGCCACTGAGAGATAACTGCTGGTCTCCTCCATCGTATTAGAATGTTTTTGGCCTAAGTGCATGGGCAGATGGGCCTGAATTTAACATTATATCCAAAAGACAGCATGTACTCTTACAGAAACTTGGTCATACGGCCGTAAGGAACCCTTGCAGGAGAGAATTCCAGAAATGGATGTCAAAGGCAAGGCTATAGACGGTGGGAGACAGGAATGTGAGGAGGTCATTAAGCCCCTTGAACCTACTCTGTTATTCAGCTAGATTGTGGCTGATCTTCCATTTCAATGCCACTTTCCTGCAGTAGTCCTTTATCCCTCGAGGTCTTGAATATCTAATAATTCCTGTCTTGATGAAACATAATGACAGAACTTCCACGGGCCTCAGGGTAGTGAATTCTAAAGATTCAGAAGAAATTCCTCCTCATCTTAGCCATAAATCTTTATGCTGAGTCTGCTGCCCCCCAGTTCTCGATCCCTTTGCGAGGGGAGCCAGTTTTTCCAGATCTACCCTGTTTAGCCCCATGAGAGTTCTGTTAGATTCAATGAGATCAGCTTTCATCCTTTGAACATATAGGGAAGGCAGTCACAACCCCCTCAATCTTTTCTTGCCTGATCTGTGAAGAGTTGGTGAAACCCAAAGTTCTGGCTGGAGATGTTGCGACATCCTTGATGTGTTTAGCCGAGCATTTAGTTTTTACACAGTCTCTCTCTGTGTGGAGCAGGGCCCAGCAATAATATTTAAAAGGCAGGACTCGATGCATCTATTTAAGCTTTGGAGATACTGCACACGCTCAGTGGGATTAATGTAAATCAGCTAGCACTGATTCGATAGGCCAAATGGCCTATTCTGTGCTGTATGACTCAATGACAAATCCTGAGGGCAACTATAGTGTGGCACAAGATGCAAATCCTTACATTTAGAGCTCAACCATTCAGCAATGAGTTCAGGAAGCATTTCTTCACTCAAATGAGAGTTGAAATCTCTCCCCACACATGAGAAAAAACAATTGAAAGATTCACATCCAAGACTGATTCTTGTTTGAGGAAAAGCTATGGAACCAAGTCGGGGTTGGGAGGGGCAGGATGGCTGGAAGTAAGATCAGAGAACAACCATCATAATTCAATGGCAGAACAGGTTGGAAACAGAGGGCTGAATGGCCATCTCCCATTTCTGCCTCCTCATAGTTCTGGTGATGTGATTCAGTGCTTGGTTTCGGTGTATGAATCTTTCCCCCTACTGCTTCACCTGACACCATCATCCATTGGAACTCAGCTCCCTCCTGTTTGTTGGTTGTGTTTTAGGATCAAGCTGAACAACAGATGAGGTATGTGCTCCTGTGAACTTACTGCAACCTGACACATCCGCCCGCCCTCACTTCCATCGTGTAATGTTGCTGTTCTCTGTCATCAGCGAGGACTCAGGCCAGCTTCTCCTGGTCGCTGACCGCTTGCCAATGGGAATATTCCGAGGACCTTTGCAGTATACTGCCTGGAAGGAAATGGCAGAGAGCATCAGTCCAGGTGAGAGGTTCTTCCCCCTAGAACCATTCCAACTCTCATTCATTTGGGAGGTTGTCTGAGAAACTGAGGAACCTTCAGTCCTACATGTTGACAACATTTTTTCTGATTGAATGTATCTCATGAGCTGTCACAATAAATGAGCGTCGACCAAAAGTTACCATGTTCCTGTTCTCAAGGCTGAATTATGACCCTGTTCGCTAAGCAGGAACTGCAAGATTCTTGACCAATATACGGTGTTGGAGAACAAATGTAAAACATTGTTACGCACTGACCAAACCAACTGTACATGTACTGTAACCAAGTGTGGTTACCAGGCGAGTGTTGACATGTCAACAATTTTTTATGTTTCCTGTTTGGAAGACAGGATGAGGAGAAAGCATCACTGTGTCATTTTGAAACGGAGCCCTTTTAAAAATGTAATTCCGGATATGGACTCTCTTTTGTGCTCCTGCTCAAGGTCTTACCTTGGCCAGCTCATCCCAAAAGCAGGAATTTTACACGTAGTTGGGAGTAGTGTCTAGGGCCAGGGGTCTGTTTGAGACTCAGCAAACGCTTAACTGATTGAACCCATTCTATTTGTGGTCCCTTTACTTGTTCAAGCATCATTTAGCCTTGGGCTTGAAAGGAAGAAGCCTTCACTTAAAAATGTTTCTGCGAAGGGTGACACTGAAATAAAACCGAACAGTGGATACTGGAAATCTGAGTTCTGATGAAGAACCATTGGACTTGAAACATTAACTCTGCTTTCTCTCCCGAAGCTGCTAGACCTGCTGAGATTCACCAACAGTTTCTGTTTGTTTTTCTGTATAGGTTCCCTGGCTGATGGTGTAGATTTCCTGATTCACAGTGTAGGTCACCCTCTGCTGGTGTAGGGTCACCCTCTGTTGGTGTAGGGTCACTCTCCGATAGTGCAGGTTCACTCTCTGCTCATGTAGCTACGAAGTTTATGTGGTGAGTCCAGCTGAGTTTCTGGTCATTGATAATGGTGTTGATAGTCGAGGATTCAGAGATGGTAACACCACTGAATGCCAAGGGGCAGTGGTTAGATTGTCTCTTATTAGGCATGGTTATTGCCTGGCATTTGCATGGCTCAAAGTTTACTTGCCGCTCGTCAACCTAAGCCTTGATATTGTCCAGATCCTGTTGGATTTGAACATTGTCATCATTGGTAGGCCCTCACAGATGAGGATGACTCCCTTCCACTCTCAAGGTGAGTTCGTAGATGTCTGTAAAGTCCAATATGACTTCTGCAGACCTGGGGCAGAAGGTGGTCGTGGGAAGCAGTGAGTGGGGCATTGGTGTGGCAGCATGCTCTTTATGCTGTTTTTGCCTGCCTAATTCAGGTCCAATGGCCTCTGTCATTCATAATTTGAATATGTACTCCTTCAGCATCTCTGATGATGAATTTTCAACCTCGCGTGTCCCCATTGGGTTACACTTCAACTCTACCCTGTCACTGATATATTCTAATTCATTTTATAACTTGTCTTGATTCTCAAATGTGGAGTTTGACTGGGTGTGTGATGGTTTTGAGGGGAATAAAACAGCCATTATGTGCTACAAAAACAAAATTGTCTGGGAGAATATTTGCAGCAGAAAATTAATAAATTTACATATATTGGTAAGTAAAAGTGGAAAGGGAATGGTCCAATTTTGACAGGTACTGCCAGCTCTTACAGTCAAATTTTTGTTGTATAATTTGGCAGGCCTTTCACAAACAAGTCTTATAGAGGTCTACAATGTCATGAGGAACATGGATAGAGTGAATAGCCAAGGGTTCCCTTTTTCCCAGGTTAGGGAAGACCAAAACTAGAGGGAAAAGGTTTAAGATAAGAGGGAAAAGATATAAAAGGGACCTAAGGAGAAGCTTTTTCACGCAGAGGTTGATGTGTGTATGGAATGAGCTACCAGAGGAAGTGCGGAGGCTGGTGCAATTACAATATTTAAAAGGCATCTGGATAGGTACATGAATAGAAAGAGTTTAGATGGATTTGGGCCAAATGCTGGCAAATGGGACTAGATTGATTTAGGAAAGCAGGTCGGCATGGAAGAATTGGACCAAAGGGTCTGTTTCCATGCTGTACAGCTGTATGGCTCTAAGCTCCATCCGAGACACACCAGCTAGTTATAGCCAACAACTGGTGCGAGTAATGGTCCTGTTGCCCTCCTCCAGATCTTTCCTTTCTTTTCTCATCCCATTACCATCTCCTTTTGTCTTTCACTATCATCACTTTCCTCTTTTAATCTCTCCTGTCTTCCACCCTTGCCAACACTTTTCCTGTCGTATTTACCCAACCCCACTTCCCTGCCTCTGCATTTGTTTAAATCTGTGTTCAATTAGTTTCACCTTGAACGGTTTCCTGTTCTGAAAAATGATCAGTGGTCAGACCGAAAACATTAACTGCCTCTCCACAGGCTGCTGAGCACTAATGACAATTGTGTTGTTAAATATCAGATTTCAAGCTTGTGCAGTGTGTTATTTCTTAGTAAAGTATAACGTAATGTCTGTCGAATAAAATCTTTTAGATTTTGGATAAATCGAAGCTGAAGTATTGCAAGCTGCTTGGTTTCTCATGTTATCTTTCACTCTCTTTCTCTCTCGCTCTCTCTACCAGTTCCAGCATCAGTGACACTGAACCCTGAGACAGCTCACTCATGGCTCCTCATATCAGAAGACCTGACCACTGTCAGATACGCAAACAAACAGCAAGAGCTCCCTGACACCCCGGAGAGGTTCAACCCTTCACTCTGCGTGCTGGGCTCCCAAGGATTCATGTCAGGGAGACACTACTGGGAGGTGGTGGTGGGAGACAGCTCCGAGTGGGACCTGGGAGTGGTGAAGGAATCCATCAACAGGAAAGGGGACATCACGGCCATTCCGCAAGCTGGCTATTGGATCGTCTGGCTGAGGAACGGCAATGATTACAAGGCAGGCTCAGTGCCTCGCACCCCCCTCAAGCTCCACACCAGGCCCCGCAAAGTTGGGGTCTATCTGGACTACGAGGGTGGCCAGGTTTCCTTCTACAATGCAGACGACATGTCCCACCTCCACACTTTCACTGACCTGTTCACTGAGAAACTTTATCCCTTCTTCAGTCCCTGCTTGAGTGGGCATGGGGAGAGCTCGGAGCCACTGAAAATCTGCCAGTCCAGATTTCATTAGGGCTGAAATGCTCAATCCCAGTCATTTCCAATTGATTATCGATCTTCCCTGTCCCCTTTGTGTTCTCCTTATTCAATCCTCCTTTCACTGTAGCCCAGACATGACCCCTTTTTTGGTGAAATCGGGCACTGGGAGAGGAGAAGGTGGTCCTTCCATTTGTGGTACCACACGCCCAGTGTTCAGTCTTGCCAGGTTTGTGGATCTGGCACCCATATCAGGCAGTGGGTGCTCAGTTGTTGGTGCTGTGTTGTCGTCCATCTCCCTCAGCTGTGCTGCTCATGATGTTCTTGTCTATTCTTCATCACTCACTCTCTTCATGTGCTTCCATGATGCTTTTCTAAAGCAACTTTCCTCACTCCCTTTTCCAGGGGCATACTGCTTAACATGGATTGCAGTCAAAGTCATCCCAGTCTGAGCCACTTTACAGATCCATACACTGAATTTAGATCCTTTAGCATGTGTTATTGGCATTAATTCACCAGAGCTCCTTTGATAGCACCTTTCAGTATCTCGAGGGGCAAAGGCAGCAGATACATGAAACACCACCAGCGTGTTCCCCTCTAAACCACATACTATCCAGGCACAGATATATATTACTGTTTCTGCACTCACTGGGTCAAAATCCTGGCTGTCCCTTCCTATCAGCACTGTGGGTGTATATATAAACCCAAGGGGACCACAGTGGTTCAAAAAGGTTGCTTACCACCACCTTCCTTCTCTAGTGCAGTTAGGGATAGGTGGTAAATGCCCACATCCTGCGAATGAATATAAATATTATTGCTTCATAATATGTGACCCCTTAATCTGAGATGATACCCTGTGGTCCTAGACTTTCCCACAATGGGAAACAACTTTTCTGCATCTACCTTGTCAAGTCCTCTAAGAATTTTTTGTGTTTCAAAATGTCACTTCTCATTCTTGTAAACTCCAATGTGTATAAGGCCCAACCTTCTCAACCTCGCCACATAAGACAATCCATCTATACCTGGTATAAGCCTCGTGAACTTTCTCTGGATTGCCTCCAATGCAATGATATCTTTATTTTAATAAGACACCCAAAGCTGTCATAGTATTCCAGCTGTGGTCTGACTAGTGCCTCATATAGTGTTAGCAAGCCCTCCTTAGCTTTAGCAGTAAAGCTAAGCATTCCACCTGGCCTTCCCTATTACCTTCAGAACCTGGATGTTATCTTTTTGTGATTCAGGGAACAGGACTCTCAAATTCTTGTGTGCTATAGCCTTCCTCAGTCTTTCTCCATTTAAATAAAATTCAGCTCCTCTATTCTTCCTGCCAAAGTGCATAACCTCATATTTTCCCACATTATATGCCATATGCCAAGTTTTGCCCACTTACTTAACCTGTCTACATCCCTCTGTAGACTCTTTGTCATTCTCACCCACTTGCCTTCGAACCTCACCCCCCAACACCCACCCCCGCCATGTTTGTGTCATCTGCAAATTTGGCAATGGTGCATTCACTTTCATCGCTCAAGTCAATATATATCAATAATCATGGCCCTAGCATTAATCCCTGTGGAATAGCAGGTTGCCATCCTGAAAATGCCCCTTTATCCCAACTTCTGTCTTTTATGAGTAAGCCAATCCTCTATCGATGCTAATATACCACCCCCAGTACTGTAGGCTCTTATTTTATGAAGTAGCCTAATGTGTAGCAACTTTACAAATGTTTTCTGAAAATCCAAACATATTCCATCTGCTGCTTCCCCTTTATCTCAACTGTTTGTTACCTCCTCAATGAATTCTAATCGAACTGTCAGGTATTTTTCCCCTTTCCGAGACCACACTGACTCGGCTTGATCATATCATGTATTTCTAAAAGGCCTGTTATTGACTCCTTTACAACAGAATTGAGAAATCGACATTTAGCTAACTGGCCTTTTTTTCCCTTTCCCTTTTTAAATAAAGGTATTACATTGGCAGTTTTCCAAACGTCTGGAACTTTTCCAGAATCTAAGAATTCCTAGAAGATTGCTATCAATGTATCAATTATCTTTGCGGCTATTTCCCATCCTATCCTCCGATGCATTCGATCAGGTGCAGGTCACTTGTCAGTCCTTGCTTCCTTTAGTTTCCCTTGCGTTTTTTTTTTGTCTAGTGCTAGTTATTGCATTTATGCCCTCACCTCCTTTTGCTCCCTGAATATTTAGTCATTAGCTAATGGTGTCTTTTACTCTAAAGGTGTAAAGTATTTCTTCAACTCCTCTGCCATGTCCTGCTTCCCTATTATTATTTCTCCAGTTCCAATTGTTTGGACACTCCATCCTCACATCAAATTGTTGGCTTCTGAAGCAGATCCTCTCTCCTGCCATTTGAAGGATGGATCACAATCTCAAGGAGGACAAGGGTGATATTTTAAGGGCACTCCTGCAAGACTTCAGAAACTGCTTCTTCTAGCTGACTCCTGTCCTCTCTGCCTAAAGATCTGGGGCTCCAGGTTTGGCCTGCTTGGCCACATGCCACCAGATGAATCGTGACTCCTGGGACTTGGACTTTGTTGGATCTAATGCCAATGCTGATGAATGGGCAACAAACAGATGCCTTTCTGCTCATGTGCACACATAAGCTGTGGATACAGGGAGAGAATAGCTGCGCCATCCAGCTTGCATCATTCACTCATGTTAAACTCAGTATGGTCCCCAGCACTTCCCATCCATCAACAGCCAGCCAACTCCTGGGAGAAAGCAGTATTGCAGACAATAGACTGAGATACCATCAAAGGAGCACTGATCATCAGCCTCTTCCATCCAACTGCAACTGTGCAACTGTACTCAGGGTGAGATATGTCAGGCTAAAGTGGAAATAGAGGAATGAGTGGAAGAGTCAGTGAAAGTGGTGTTGCTGTGAGAAGTGGAGGCACAGCGCCTGGAGGAAGCTTCCACATTCTTTAAGAGACCCGAGGAAGCAATAGCTTGTGACGGACGCTCAGTACATCAACCAAGTGAGGCCATTGGATGGAGAGGTGCAGTTGAATGACTGGCTTCCTGGAGGCAAAGAGGGATGGGTAGTCAATGCTGACCTTAACAATGACAAAACAACAAGCCTTAAGAACACAACAATTTATTTTGAAAAGCATCAAGTCATGCGGGTATAAGCAGGAAAGTGAAGTTGAAATGAAATGGTCAATTTGTAATGGAAAGCAGGCACATGGGGCTGAATGGCCAATTCCTGCTCTGATAGTTTCTGTTCAAAATTGTCTTCAGTATAAGCTACATTTGCAACAATTTCTTGTACCACATGAATAGGGATAACAATCGAATTGCGTCTCTCAAGGCCATCGTAATTGCAGAATCAGTGTTGAACCTTGTGATTATTTTCTGCAGATCTGACAATCTCCTAGTGCCATAAAAAAGATCATTACAGTTCACACTACATCACTATAATCATAAAAATTTAGTGTTTTAAAAAAATATGCTCAAACATGTTAACCTCAGTTAATTTACACGCTTTCTATTTCAAAGTGTATTGCAGTAATTACAGAGGTATCTTAAAGGCTGATGCAATTTCAATTGAAATTAAATCTCAAACATTGCTCAGGTCACACATCACCAGCACAAAGTGACCTCACAGAGTTCAAATCCAATCCATGTGACTTCATTTTTTCCAGATGTTCTTACAAAATCAGTTTACACCAAATCAAACATCTTTCCAAAAAGTGTTGTCATCAAATTTCACATCTCTGAAAGGTTCTGAGCCACCACTTTGTTTGAATTGCTCACGGCCTTTACTTATATCTGACAACTTTAACCTGCTAGTCCCCAGGATTTGCTCCAAGCACATTTTTCTTTGTTTAGACATATATGCAACACCTACCTGGGGCAGCTAGGACTTGAAACTGGGCCTTCTGCCTGAGAGACACTGCCACTGCACCACAAGACCTTAGAATTAAAAATACAAACAGAAATTGCTGGAGGAACTCAGCAAGTCTGGCAGCATCTGTGGAGAGAAAGTATGGTCAATGTGTTGGGTCCAATGACTCACTGAAATATTAACTCTGCTTTCTGTCTGTAGACGCTGCCAGATCTGCTGAGTTTTGCTAGAAATTTTGGCATCTGCAGTTTCTTTAACCTTCGAATTGAAGTTTGGTGTGGAAGCCAGCAACCATGGGCATTATGGGGAATTGAACCCACATCCTTTGTGTTATTAGCATCACCAACTATCTGAGGTTACCAACTGCTCCAGTCATGTTTTATTATGAAGTCTGTTGCCCAATTTGGCAAACTGAGACCCATCTGTCTTCTCAGGTGTTTCCCCTTGAAGGAGACAGGTGGACTTTTCTCTGTTGCCTTTTTTGCCTCTCAGTTCTCCTAATCAACCTACTAAGAGATAGTACAACACACCTCTGGAGCACATAGGATGTGAGGTAGGGACATTACCCCTGCACCACAAGAGCCCTTTTGCGAGGGGCAAGGCCTTTATGGTGACATTGGTCAGTACAGGATTTGAACCCATTCTGTTGGCATCACTATGCAGCACAACCCAGCTGTCCAATTGACTTAGTTAACCAACCCCATTCCAGTCACGTCAGAACAGCTATTACTGTTTTCCATCTGTTTATTCAGGAGATCTGTCTGTATTCATATCAGTGATGACGGGGACAAGACGAAATTGGGCATGCATGCCAACACAAAGATGGTGCCTCATTGATGATTTTGCAGATGGTAGTGCTCATACCTCTCAGACAGGAGGCCCATGTTGAAGTCCCACTTGCTCCAGAGGTGTGTCATGCAATATCATTGAACATGTTGAACATGTTGATTGGAAAATATTGACACAATGCCCCACTGTCTGTTCTAATGACTTAAAAGGGAATAGAACATTAGAGGCTGATTTAAATTTTTGAAAAATGAGATATGAATTTCCCAGTGAATTTGTGAGCTTTTACTGCAGCCAAGTTAATGTAGGCATCTAACGTAGTAAACCTCATTATTCAACTTACTCAATCAAGAATACTGTATGGGCCATTTTATTTGTTAAGCTGTG